TTTCATCTTTTTCGAAGGCTGAGAAATAAACATGAAGCTTCAGGTTCCCTGCATTCTGTTCCTAAACGTGCATCCCTCTCTGCCCTATACCAAGTGACCTCTGATAATGCCCGAAAGAAAAAAAGGCATGTGTGTGTAAAAGCCTTTGATTGCCAGTCAGGTTTCCTGGTACCCTGTCAATGTTTGTTTTTTTTTTTTTTTTTTTTTTTGGTTTTTTTTTTTTTATCATTCACATCTTAATGACCATATATTTTTTATTTTATATTAATTATATTTAATATATAAATTATTATATTTATATTCAATTGTTTCAAGTTATCTCAAATACTAATGACTCACAGGGGAAATGTTATGATAAGCTGGTGGACTTTAAAAGTCACTGGATCTAGGAGTGTAGCTTGGTGATAGAACACCTGTCTCGTATATGCAAGGCCCGTGGTTTGATTCCCAGCACTGTAAAAAAAATTAAAAATGATAGCCCATGGTAGCTCAGTATCCAAGTGGGTTCCCTAGTAAGGGAGACAGGAATTGTTTCTGACATGAGCTCAATGTGTGGCTCATTGAGCTTTCCCTCCCCTCCCCACCGAGGGAGGAGTAGCCTTGCTAGGCCACAGATAAGGACATTGCAACCGTCTTGAAGATACCTGATAAGCTAGGGCCAGATGGAAGGAGAGGAGGACACCCCCTCTCAGTGGACTTGGAAGGGGGCAGGGAGGAGATGAGGGAGGGAGGGAAGGATTGGGAGAGGAAAAGGGAGAGGGCTACAGCTGGGATACAAGTGAATGTATAAAATTATTTAAAAATAAAAAATAAATAAAAATGAAAGAAAAGAAGATCAAAGACTTTAATAAACTATGACAATTTCTAAATAAAGAAAAGAAAAATCAAGCTGGGTGATGGTGACACACACCTTTAATCCCAGCACTCTGGAGAGAGAGGCCAACTGAGATCTCTGTGAGTTTGAGGCCAGCCTGGTCTACAGAGTAAGTTCCAGGTTTATACAAAGAAACAAACAAGTAGATAAATAAATAAATAAATGAAGATAGATAGATAGATAGATAGATAGATAGATAGATAGATAGATAGATAGATAGACAGACAGATACAGACAGATAGACAGCACTACATTGTGATGATTGAATTCCTGTTTAACTCTTCCCATCTACTGAAGCCTCTGCAGATTTCATTAAAATCACATTTATGACATAAAAATATTAAGGGAAACATGAGAAGAAAAGATGATACCTAAGTGGAAGAGAGAGGGGGAATAAAAGGGAGTAATAGAATGTAAGTGACAGGAAAATAAGAGGAATTATTAGGGGGAAGAAAGGGGACCAGGATAGGCAGTGAGAAGAAAAATAAGAACAAAGTACAATGATGATTCCATCAATAGTGATCTAACAATGACTATATACAATAATTGTAATGTGTGTGCATATACCAATTTTAATACAATGCTTTCCATGTTCAATATAATGAATAATAAAATAAAAGGACAAAAGTAAGGAAAAAAAAGAATTTGAACATGGAACATTTCAGAAATATGTATTTGTCCTGTGGAGGGATGGGGTAGGGTGGCTGCTGCTTATTTTTGGAAACAATGGTGGGTTTTGGTTGGTTGGTTGTTTTGTTTTGTTTTGTTTTGTTTGTTTGTTTGTTCTTTGTAGTTCAGGTTGGCCTAGAACTCATGGCAACTCTCCCACCTAAGCCTTCTGAACATTGGAATTCTGGCATAAGCTTCCACTTCCCGGCAGAAATGTTTCTTCTGTGAAAACTGTAATGTCACCTTTTAGTGTCCTTGAACCTAATAGTTAACATTATTATAGATGGACTTTTCCGAAATTGCAGAAATTTTCCTTTGCCGATCATCTATTTGTAGTTGTAGCATTTCTGCAAACTTCTCAGACACATACAAAGCATTTGTCAAACTCAGATGTCATCTCTGCAACAGCTAGCAGCAGGGTCCGACTGTGGAATGTTCCCTTCTATTTCTGATCGATTGACTCCAAGTGTCCTTGCAGCTTATGCCTGGTTTTCAGTGTAATATCACGGTTATTTTTATTTTCAAAAGCTCTGCTCAGTATCTATATCTGTTTTCACAGATTCAATGCCCACTGTGACATAAATATGTCACAAATTAAGCTGATAAATAGTACTTTGAAAGTGAGTCAGTTTAATTTCCCCAGTATATTCTTGCATGCCTTTTTCTTGTTTGACCCAAGACTTCTGCGTTGTAAAAATGGAACGTTCACGATTAATTCAGCAGTATACCCTCTCTTTTGTTATTTTCACAGTGAGAAAAGACTCATTAATTTCTCAGGAATAAAATGAATTAGGCTGCCCCCTAAGTCACTGTATGTTTCTGCTATATTTCCCTTCGGTGCATTTTTACTTTGAGTTCTTTCCTGTATTGTGTGGTTTAATATACATGGAACCAAATATTCAGACCTCTTGGTGAAACATATCTTGGGGTAGTCTGTGCTGCTGTGGTTTTCAAAATATCTTATTTATACCAAGTCTCAGTAAACAATGATTATAAGTAACAAACCCACCCTCCTTCACATAATACCTGTTTAGTCTCTCAACAATAGCACGGCATCTAGTACACTGTTGTGCTAAAATTGATTCTTAACACTTGTGAGGCATAGCCTACTTCTTTTTAAATTTTTCATTTTCTTTAAATCAGTCTTTTAAACACAACCGTATGGTGATAGTTCATCCACTTAACAAATGAGCAAGGACTTACTGAGCAAGGACTGGGACTCCTTCCCGGAAGTGAATCTCTGCTTCATACAAAGAAAAGTAGGTGTATAGGAGTAACGAAAGGTAGAAAATGGAGTCTCAGAAAGCCTTACAGAATAATAGCAGCACAAAGAAAAGATGAGGGTTTCTCCTAGGCATATAGAAAAGCTTCTGAAAGTGATTCACGTGGAGTGGAAGAAGTGAAGGAAATGGAATCCACTAAGGAACTTGTCATTCTACCTTCCTGCTGCTGCTGCCAGGAATGCATGATCCTGCTCTGGAAGGCTGGTCCAGGCACTGCCAGCTCCGATGGAAAACAGGTGGAAGCTGGGAGTCTCAGATTCTGCTTCTCTCAGGAGCATGTACAGCACTCAGAGCACCAGGCTCCCGGATCTCACCAGCTTGTGGAAAAGGGTTTTCCACAGGGTGTTATGGTTAGGTCTTTTCAGTTTCATTGCCAGCACCAGAAGGAAGTGGAAACTTGGGTTTTCCAAAGCCGGTGATAAGGCCACAGTGTTACAGCCCTTCAGTAATGCCGCTGGACGAACAGCAGAGGATGCAGGCAGGCACCCATGCCTTGTCGGTTCATGGCTGGAATGCAGCTCCAGCCATTGCCTCATCAGCAATCAGTGGCTTACCTCTGCAGACAAGCAAAGAGCTCGAGCAGGTTTCAGGGGTGACCAAGGTAGCTATGGCTGCCTCGCCAGACGCCAAGCCCCAAGTGAATTCTTCAGGACTCCTTCCCCAGAATAAATGATGAATCTCGGAGAATCATGGTGAAAAGATGATGGCAGCCTGTTTATTTCATGTGAAACAGGGACTTATAAACCTTGGGCAGTGGGAGGGGTTTGAGTGTGAATGTGTTTGATTTGCTGGGGCTAGGGGTGCTAGGGATATTTCATTTACATGTAGTGGTACAGTCCTATCATAAGTAGGGGAACACAGTACTTAATTATTCTATGGATGAGGCAAGAGCTCCAGATACAGTTAAAGGTCATTTGCTGAAAACTAAGGTCTTGTTAGTATAGGGTGGGGTATTGCCCAGGTGCTTGTTGAAAAGGTCAAAAAGGGTCTGGCCTGTAATGTTCCCTGAGGGTTATGTGACTCTCCTTAGCATATCTGGGGTGACCTCAGATGAGGGAAGAGGAGGGAACCCAGCTGAAAAAGGGAGTCCATCATGTTTGCACTGAGCTCAGGGGCTATCTAGTGGTGCCACAAAACTGAACAGACAAAATCTGAGAAACGAAAAACATCATGGTCTCAAAAAAAGGAGCTGGTTGTCCCACACAAGTAGGACATCTGGCATGTGGGTCGTGGCTGTGATGATAGAGATGGCAACAAGAGCCATGACAATGAGAGCACAGTTAGAAAGACATGGTATTGGAGAACAAGCTAGGAGCACAATGCTAGGAGTCCTTGAATGCCCTGCTTGAATTTCTGTTTTATAAATGGATGGAAGCCACTAAAAAAAAAAAAACAAAAGAACAAAAAAAAAAAAAAAACACTACGGAAGATTGCATGCTAGCCTCATGGGAAAGAAACAGGGGATGATAGAAAGGATCAGAACGAGGAAGGCCAAGGAGAAAAAAATTACTACAAAATTAAAGATGCTAAAGGCTTCTGTGGCAGGGACAGAGAGAAGGGAGGCACCAGGAGACAGAAGCAATGTTGGAACAGATTTCTCAACATGGCATCACATACTGCACATAGGATCTCATTTCCCCTTACCATGATACCACTTCTGGGAAGGCACGGCTATTATATGTTTGCTTCACTGCTTCATCCTCTGGACTCAGCAGCACCAGGCAGAGATGCTCAGTAAAGCAGCCGAGTGAGTCAGGATCAGTAGGGCTTGGGTGTGACAGGTTCAGCGACCAAATTTCTGTCTTTTAAGAAGACACAAAATGAAATGAAGACAACCAGGGAAGCTGGTTGGCAGCCAGGTTGAAAAGGTTAGTAAATAAGAGAAGGGAGTAAATTTTAAAACTCAGCTTCCTTTCCATATGAAAGCAATGATTTTATCTAAGCTTGGGTAATTTGTCTATTAAAAAGGCTGAATTTGGAGGAAAACTTTTTTTTCATGAAATGGTTTCCACATATATTCTTCTGTATCTGGTAGATTGGGTTAGTCTCACTGTATCCATAATGCTTTGAAAATGTAACCAGCTGTGTCATACAAGAGTTAGTGTTTGTGTCAAAAATGCCAATGTTGTCTTCCAGTCCCAGATGATGTGGGAGCCGCAGGTTACCATTCAGACATGGCCAAGTCCAAGAACCATACCATACACAGCCAGTCCTGCAAATGGCACAGAAATGGCATCAAGAAACCCTGGTCACAAAGACACGGATCGCTTAAGAGGGTGAACCCCAAGTCCCTGAGGAACATGCGCTTTGCCAAGAAGCACAAGAAAGGCCTGAAGAAGATGCAGGCAAACAACGCAAAGGCAATGAGTGCACGAGCAGAGGCCATCACTGCCCTTGTGAAGCTTGTCGCTGTTAAGCCCAAGATGTCAAAGGACCCCAGCCACAAACTCAACCATCTGGCTTTCATTGCTCACCCCAAGCTTGGGAAGCAGATTCAAAGCTACATGGCCAAGGGTCATAGGCTCTGCCAACCAAACCCCAAGGTTCAAACCAAGGCAGTGGCTGCAGCTCTAGCTAAGGCCAAGGCTCAGGCTCCCAAAGGTGCCCAGGCCCCTCCAAAGGCCCCACAGGAAAGGCTTCTGCCAATGTAAAGACAGACTGGTGTGACACACCCCCTACACACTATTTACAGATGACCAGTGTCCTATGCTATGCTGTTTCTACAAATAAACTGGGAGCAAGATCTGTAAAAATAATAATAATAATTAATAATAAAAGTTACAATAATTATTTTTAAATTTTAAAAATCAGCCTTTGGTAAATTATCCACAAAATAATCAGGTTAACATTCTATTTAGTCTAAATTTTTATTACATCTATGCTTATAATATAGGATGAAATGAGATGCATGTGTGTCTATTTTTCTGCCCTTCAAGGGACAAGAGGCAAAGTGAACCAGAGCAGCTGGCCAAAGAAGTTTCACTCTGAAAACTTTATCCTGTAGATGCATCAACTCCACCTGCTGATCAGTGAAGGCTACTCACTGGAACAATGTTTTTAGTGACACACATGGAAATATGCCTTGGGATGCCAGTGCACAAGATACATTCACCAGCGATCTAATTCCTCCTACTAGGCCCCATAAACTAATGTTCCCAGCACACCACAAAAAAATAAAATAAAATAAAATAATAAAATAAAATAAAAAATAATAAAAAATGCCAGAGTCAAGCCTTTAGCACACAAGCCTCTGGAAGAACATCTCAAACTCAAAACAAAACAGAAGGCCTTCCTGTTCACATCCTCCGCCTCAGAGTCATCCCAGGCTCTGACCTCCGGGTATAAGCTGGTACAAATGAGTCAGGGAGTGATGCTGTGTTCTTCCCTCCCTTTGTTTCTTCTTTCTGCTAGTGGGTTTCTGTCAGAGTTCTCCTTGTAACTTTCCTGTGACCTGAACCAAGTTACTTTGTCTCTGATTAGTCAAGTAGAAGATGTCTGAGGCAACCGGTAATTTAACAATCGATGACGCTTCCCATTCTCTCCACCCCAGTGACAAAACTTAGAATTGTTTGCTAGAAAATCCTACACAGTTTATTTCCTGTATAAGTGAAAATAGACAAGCTCTGTTATTATCCCACCTTATGGATAGAAGAGATGGGCATGTGAAACAGGAGAGTGCAACAGTAACTCACTGTGGTGATCCAGATGACCTTTTGGGGGACTAATGTGGCTTTTTCTTTGTAGAAATTAAGTGTGGCCATTATAGTTAAGCACCCTTTAGGGCCTTTCCTCTCTCCCAGAATGCGCACACTACACCCAAAGTCACGCAGTGGATCTGAATGCTTCAGTGACAAAATGAAAGTTCATGTGCCAGGTGTCCCCTGCCCACATGAGGCTTTATGACAGTCGCACATTCCTAGGGCCAAATCCATGGTCGGCTATATTCCACCAACAATGAAATGTGCTTTTATCATTTTGGGGGGCAAGGCTATCTTCTGCTTTATTAAATGGCTCTATGGTGAGTTTTGAATAGCTATTTAGAAGTTCTAGCCATGATAACTGAGCCTTATTTAATTCTCCATTTAATCCAAATATTCATGGCAATGATTTGTTGATTGTGTATTTTATATATTCATCTTTTTGTACAGGCACACATTGATTTTATTACATAAAATGAGGGGTTGAAGATAATGTATTTGAACATACATATCACTCTTCCTGACACATAGAAAAGGCTTTCCCCTAAACCAGGACTTTTTCTAATTAGGAAGATCGCTGTCATAGTTCACCCAGTCTGCTACAATCTAGGTATCTTATACATAAAGGAAATTTACTTCCTACAGTTCTGGGTGCTAGGAAGTCCAAAATTAAAGTGCCAAAGATGTAGAGGCCACTTTCTGGATCCTAAGTGGTACCTTCTTGCTGTGTCTTCACACAGTAGAAAGAATGAGGCAGTTCTCTTTTATAAGGATACTAATTTATAGCAATTCTAAACCAAGACCTAACACCACAGAACTATCCCACATCACACTGACCTTAAGTTTCAACCAAAGAAGTTAGGTAAGACAATCAATCAAACCACAGATGGGGAGCATGAAGGAGAGTTATTATGTAGCACATTCAGACAAAAATATGCCTAACTGAAGTGACACGTTCCATAATGAGGATGTATTTTTGTAGACTCCAGGCACAAAAATTAAGCAGGATTGCCTAATCAAAGCATATAGCAATGAGGATCAGCAGCTTTAACATAACTGTTTTTAAGTCATGTTTGGGCAGTAATGTTGGTGAGATGTTATGGATGTAGCTTTTGGTCTTATTTGGAGAGAATATTTTGGAATATATATATACATATACATTTACATCTTTGCAGTAACAATTAGTGGGAAAAAAAAAAGGCTAGAAATTTGAAGGAGACAGGGTAAAGATATCCGGGACAGCTTGGAAGAAAGGGAAGGGAAAATGTTGTAATTAAAATACACTCTCAAAAATAAAATTTTAAAATGTGACATATATTTTTAAAAAACTATTTTTAAAGCACATGTAGTAGAAAATGTATGTATGTATGTATGTATATGATCTGTACTTCTATATGATATTTGGGAACAAATCTAAGAATTCCATTATATAAGAAATCTCTACCTATTATGATATCTCCTATATTTTTATATCAGTTCTAATACACTTTTACATATTGAATCCGTGTGTGTGTGTGTGTGTGTGTGTGTGTGTGTGTGATTTGTGAGGTAGAAAAAGAATTCAGATTTTTTTTTTTTAATGGAAAGGCAGTGTCCCAGCATGACTTATTGCTCAAGGCAGTTCCTACCCACAGTTCTGGGTATCAGGGAAGCTGAGGCCATAGATTGTAACTTTAAGACCAGCAACATAACAAGACCACTGCTTTGTTAAAGAAAAGAGGGAAGGGAAAGAAAGATGGGAGGAAGGGAAGGAAAGCAAGTCAAAAGATGAGACAGAAAGGGGAGAAAAGACAGAAAATAAACAAATTCCTTCCCATTGCCTTTCAGTGCCCCTTTTGCCTAGCTTCAAATGCACATGTATGCGCAGAAATGCCTGCAGGTCATTGTTCCCAATGCCAACACCACACCATTTTTAAATTCTAGTGTTTGGTGAATCATCCTATGACAATTCTGTGTGATTATTAGAATCAATGCATCAAAGCAAAAACACTTTTGAGGTTTTTACTGAAATTACAAACTAACTGTAAATTTACTGAGTGAACACTGGCATATTTCTGTGTTGTACTTTCTGACCAGTTAACTAAGGATATGCATCAGTTAGCAATCTTTCCTGTTCTTCAGCAAAGATTTCCTGACTCTTTATGAAGATGGCAAGAAGTTGCCTTAAAATAGCTTAAGCCTTACTCTGTTATAAAAATCCTCCACTAAGTACCTCGTGCAGACTTTTGCAACAAAACCATCTTTCAGCTCATCACTGCTAGAAGCCAATGATTTTTAACCACGAATCTCTGTCGTCTCCAACAACCAGCTGGAGTATGGCTGAGGCACCTTTTTCTGAGTTATTCACTAATAAATCATACTCTTTCCTGGGGCATGTATCCTTTTGCCCTTTCTTCCTTTCCCAGTTGAATTCTATCCCTAAAATGTTGCCCATGCCACATGCTGATGCTGCTTGTCTTTGCCTTTCAAACCTGGAAGCTTTCTCTCTGCAGCCAGCATTCTACAAAGTGAAAAGGCAAGGCATCTAAAGAGATTCACTTCTCAGAGCACACAAAAGAAACCATTCCTGTGCTGCACATCAATATGGACGCCAGTGTTTCCTATCTGCCCGTAAAAGATTCCTCCCAGAAACATAAACATGGGCCTTTGGTGGTCATAGTGAGTGCATATAAATAACATTTCTTGGGGTTTTCTTTTAATGTCAGCAAATTTTAAGGTTATGAGGGGAGTTCTGTAGTGCCATAAAAGTAAAACTTATTCCCAATCGGCAGTTCATGGTAGCACCATCAATTGTTAGCAAAAACATCTCCTCTAAAATGACTCTCCCAGCTCTCTCTTTCTCTTTCTCTTGTCAACAGTTAAGTCTCAGGGAAGAATTACTTCCTCAGTGATATTTCTTCTCTCTCCTTCCTGTTATTCTTCCTCAGAGACTGTGTTTCCACATTGCCAAGGAAAAGCTGTCCCTTTACTGCCTACTGTCTATTTCTTACCATCTGGATTTGCTGCTAGATTATTCTAAAGGATATTCAAAGTCATTGAGAAGGCTGCACAGTGATATGTGTCCCAATGTCAAAACCCTGAGAGGTACCTTTAGTTAAAGTTTTTGTTGCTATGATAAAATGTCATGACCAAGGCAACTTGGCATGGAAAGGGTTCATTTAGGGTTCCAACCCCAAGATCATACCCCATCACTGAGTACAGGAAAGGCAGAAACTCAGAGCAAGAAGGTAGAGGCAGGAACTTAAGCAAAGACCACAGAGGCGTGCTGGCTTGCTCCTCCTGGCTTTCTGGGCCTAGTTCCTTTTTCTTTTTTTTTATTGTTATTTTAGTTTACGAATATGGGTGTTTTGCACGCATGCATTTCTGTGCAACACATGCATACTGATGCCCGCAGAGGGCAGAAGTGGTTGTCAGATCCCCAGAACTAGAGTTACAGACAGTTGTAAGCTTCCATGTGGGTGCTGGGAATGGACCCTGGATCCTCTGGAAAGGCAGCCAGTACTTTTAACCACAGAGCCATCTCTCTAGTTCCACAAATTTACTTTATTATCTACTCCAGGACCACCTGCCCAGGGGTGGTTCTGCCCTTGGTGGTTGAGCCTTCCAACATCAACCATTAATCAGGAAAATTCCCTAAAGACTTGCCTACGACAATCTTATGGAGGCATTTTCTCAGTGAAGACTCCTTCTTCCCAGATATGCCTAGGCGGTGTCAAGTTGACAAAAACCAACCAGCACAAAGGTCTATTGTTTGCTAAGGAGTGAGCGTAGGGATGTGCATAGGCAGTGGACCATTTTCCACAGAGCATAGTGGCCAGCTATCTTCATGGGTTTTCCACTCATGGTCTGTGTTGTAACTTACATATTTTGTGACTCCTGAAAGTCTTGCTTGATAACCACAATTAATGCAGTCATCTAAGATGATCCCCACTTGGAGACCACTGACACATCTCTCTCTTAATGAATTGCAGGGTCTAACCTTCTCATGTTCACGTGTGCTTGCCCTGTGGTTAAGAACCTACTTCAAAGATAGTAAAACAGTCGCTGCTCAGAAGTGGTTTCATTGATTTTGATTTCTCTGTGGAGAGAAAAAAAAATGCGTTGTTAACCATCTCCTTCTCTCAAATTGCAGATCACAGTATTTCGAATGGGATCAGAAGGCCACCAGGACATTGATTTAGCTATTCTGACAGCATTACTAAAAGGTAAAAGTTTCCCTGTCCATGGAATACAAAAAGTACTTCTAAGAGATTAGCACAGACACTTTATGTCTCCTATTAATGTATATAACCCCAAATGATTTTGTGTCGCATCTAGTTAACTGAGCCAGTGACCATCCCTGTAAGACACTGTTATCACCCTTGAAGCCTTCTAATGCTGACGTGTTGCATGTCATTCAATTTTGTAAGTTTTGAATACAATATAACTCACGTCCACTGAGTGACAAAAATGTAGATGAAAGATGTTAATGTAACATGTAAAATATCTAAGTTATCTAAAGGTGTTTAATAACTATTATCACTTTATCTTCAAAGTCATCTATGGGAGTTATAGGTGTAGATTTAGTTCTGTGTGTGTGTGTGTGTGTGTGTGTGTGTGTGTGTGTGCGCGCACATGCATTAAAATTAAAAATCAAGTATCATTGAGAGGAAATCAGAAAGAAATAAAACTTTGTCTATAATCATTGTTATAAATTATCTTTAGCTTAGAGTTCAGCTCCCTGTTCATCATGGAAGACACAGTAATACTTGGGTTATTAGATTTTAATTGATAAGGTGGATATTAGTCCTACCATCTAGCCCCAGTCCTTCATAGATGTTTCACTACCTGCCCTCATCCTAGGAGCCGTATCCCAGTAAAGGCCAGTTTCTTTCAGGTTCTATAAATTAAGTCTTCTCATTACTATGCCTTGATATGCGAACTACACTTGAAAAAACTTTTAAAAATTAAAATAAACAGAGGAAAGTTCGACCTGTTCTGTTCTAAAAATCAGACTAGAAGTATAAGACAAACAAAGCATAAATGGTTTTGAGTATGATTCTCAGCTACAAACATATGTGTTCCCACTTAGTCCCAAAATCGTCTGCAGCAGCCCTGATCAGCTGGCTTCTCATTGCCTGGCCATGGCCTCCATAGAGTATAAAGTCAATGAGCACAGAAAATCTATCTTATTCATTCACCTTCTCAGCACTGTACTGAAGCCCAGTTCATGCAGCATTCAGGTTTTGTTGTATGAAAAAATGAATGTATTACTCAGTGATCAGGTGATAGATTTGATATTCTATAATCCAGTTATGTCATTCTTTGTTTCTAGTCTATTACTCTTCTTTCACTATTGCTATTTTCTTGAGGACTTATTTGTGACAGGGACTGTGCCAAGCTCTTAATGAATATGGTAAACATTAATCATGGCAACAACTATTTGATGCCAGAACTGATTTAATCTCCCTTTGCCAGAGGAGTAAGAAAAGCTACAAGGGATGGAATAACCTGCTAAACAATGCAACACTAATTATTAAGTCTCAATTCAGATCTAACATATCTGACTTCTCACCATACTACATGAGACCCTTAGACAAACATGATTGACAGTTTTCCCTGCCCACTCCCTGAATTTCCATATGCATTCACTAGACTCCTGTTCATGTATCAGGAGATCTCAGTTCCTCCTGGTGGGTGGTGTATCCCAGGTTGAATGTTTCTATAAGACATTTCATTTCAACTACAAATATAAGGACCTTGAGGGCCATGCATAGGCTGGATCACAAGACACGCTCTGGGCTCTAGGTTTCTTTTATCATAGACAAAGGTAAAACTCAATACAAGACACTCTAATATTTTCTATTCTAATATAAAGATAATGAGGAAAGTAATAATATCAATAAACAATGTTCATTGAAGTCTATGAACATTGTTTATTGACTAATAAACTAGTGAAGTCTAAGCCCAACACTGTGAAGAGATTTTAGTGCATTCATTCATAGATTCTGCACAATACTTAGATGCCAATAAATTGTGAGCCTCATTTATAAATAAGGACACCGAGGCATGAAAGCCAGTCAGCATGTGCCCAAGAAGCTAGCTAGCAAAAGGTTCAGCCCAAACCTGAGAGCTCATGTATGCATCCAAGATATCCCATTCCATTGGCAATAACAAATTCCCATGAGCAAAATTTACAGCAAAGAGGGAAGGGATCGCAGTATCACTAAAACCATAGTGACCATGACCATTTAATTAAAACTTGTCTTTAGCAATTTATGAGAATAGAAATTATGCACCATCTTCAGATCAGCTATAGCATTCATTTATCATACTGCAGAATTTCTGTTTTCCAGCTTTTTTAGGATGATGTTTTACAAAATGAAATACAGTTGATGTCATAATCACACAGTTATGCATATTGCACTTTGAAAAATTAAAATTAAGCTACCTGGGATAATATTTAAATGGACAATATGTGATGAAATTGAATATTTTCTCTTTTAATCTACTTTCCTGGATGCTGATTTACCCTACTAAATTGATTTCATGGGTCATAAACCTGCAGCTTAAAAAGTACTGCTATAAAAGAGATGAAAGAAAATTCTGATTGCTCTAAGAAAGTAACATTTCTAATCACTGTAATGAACATTATTTATGCAGCAGTTATGCTAACGGGAATTTGTGCCATTAAAAGATTATAGTGTGTCAACTCTATTTTGCAAAGACTTCTAAATGCTCCCCAACACTGACCTACTTAATTTGGAAAGGGAATCTAGCATGTTTTTGGCTGACTTCTTTGATGATGAAGCATATGTAGATAATTACATCCATTTTAAATTCCTAAGTTTATTATACTCCTCATATGTGTTTAGCCAAGGCAAGTAACAAGCTTAACACTTAATTTCCACAGTTATATTTAATTTTCAATTATGTAATGCACAAGGGTTATTTGTAAAGTTCAATTTTTATTCTTAAGGTTCCTGAGAAAACCAGTAGTTAGACTGGAAGAGAGCCAGGAAACAAACCACTGCTCCATAAGTCCACTGGGGAAAGCAGGAAAGCACATGGGAAACCAAATGGCCATGGGGAAAATATGTCATTACTTCCCTTGCTTTTGAGCTATTTAATTTAGTTTTCTTGTATTTGAACCTGTATTGGTGAATTTCAGTCCTCTGATACACACTTAAGCAGTGTGTAGGTAAGTAATAAAGTGAATAACAGAGGTGAATTTTCCCACATCTTACATAGATGTCTTTCCTACAAAGCATTTTCAAATGAATGCAGTGAAGAAAGAATGCTACTGAGATCCAGGAAGCCTAGGATGACTTCAAATGGTGACATGGATACTTTTGACAAGAAGTGATGTCACATTCCCTTCACCTTGAGAGTGGTGGCCTGAGCACAGGCTTGGTGCCCTCTTCTAACCACTCATACAGAGAGAAACCACAAATGCAGTAGGTTTAGCTGCATTGCAAAGTTTCAGGTACCAGATAAAAAAAAGTAATTTTAATAAGAGAAAAAAGAATCTCCACATAATCACCTAATATAAAAGTATCATAAGTATAAGCTGAAACCTGCTTTGTTTAACTATAATCAGTGAACTCTTGATACAATTAGAAATTACCTAAGGAAAGAAACACAATTTAAACCAGCTAAAGCAGAAGTCGATGGATGGGTTTGTAGAGTCACCGGGCCATAAGGAAAAGCACAACCGAGACAAAAGGAGAGGTAGGGCTCAGCAGATGTCACCAAGGTCTGAGCTGGAGCCCCCTGAGATGCGAGGTTATCCGTGAGTCAGGCAGAGAAGCCAACATCAGTGACAGGAGAACACCCAACCAGCTGGGAAAATGCCAACCAGAAATCTCCACCTTTCTTGGTAATTACAACACAGAGGTTTCAAACTGAATGGGAGCTTGCTTAATTTTGATAAATACCCATCTTTGAATTTATCCCTACAACAAGAGAGTCAAAGAAATTCTGGAACTATGAGATGGGAGATGGTGAAGCTTATCCATGGCCAGACTTATGACATTTATTTGGAGAAGGGGGCACATGTGAAGGTCAGGAGAAAATTTTGAGAAGCCAGTTCTCTTCTTTTTGTTTTTAAATCAGTTTGCATGTGACTTGAATTTTCTAGAAGTCACATTTCTTTTTGTAATTTTTTAATTTTTTTTTAATATTAGTTACAGTTTATTAACTTTGTATCCCAGCTGTCTCTCACTCTCTCATTCCCTCCCAATCCCGCCCTCCCTCCCTCATCTCCTCCCTGTCCCTTTCCAAGTCCACTGATAGGGGAGGACTTCCTCCCCTTTCATCTGACCCTGGTTTATCAGGTATCATCAGGACTGGCTGCAATGTCCTCCTCTGTGGTCTAGCAGGCCTGCTCCTCCCTCGGGGGTGGGGAAGGTCAAGGAACCCGCCATTGAGTCCATGTCAGAAATAGTCCCTGTTCCTCTTATTAGGGTACCCACTTGGACACTGAACTGCCATGGGCTACATCTGAGCAGAGGTTCTAGGTTATATTCATACATGGTCCTTGGTTGGGGAAACAGTCTCATAAAAGACCCCTGTGCCCAGATATATTTTGTCCTTGTGGAGCTCCTGTCTTCTCCAGGTCATATCGACTCCCCCTTCTTTCATATGATTCCCTGTACTCTGCCGAAGGTTTGGTTATAAGTCTTAGTATCTGCTTTAATACACTGCTAGGTAGAGTCTTTCAGAGGCCCTCTGTGGTAGGCTCCTGTCACAGAGTTTGAGCTCAAGTCACCAGGCTTAGCATCATGTGCCTTTGCCTACTGAGCCATCTTGCCAGCCCCCAAGTCTGAGCAAGATATGAAATAGAGGTTCCGTAGACAGAAAAGGGTGAAGAAAGTAAGTCCAAAATGACTTTTTAAACATGCACATCTCCACATTTGTCTTAGAAGAAGTTCTAAGGGTCAAAAGGTATCAAACTTTCTCAAATGCAAATATCCAAAACTCTGTATCATAGAATAAATGTACTATGATTATATTATTTATTCATTGCCAATTCATGGTGTGTTTCAAAAGATAATGTTTCATTCAGCAGACAAAACCAGAAACTAGGTCAAATTAATACTAACCAGAGTTCAAGCATTTATACAAATATATTCAGAAGGTCACAGCAGATATAGCTAATTATGCTACTAATTGCTTATTATGTGTATTTATTATTATCAATATTACATTCTTCAGTTTTAATAGT